GGTGTTGACGTGATTCACGCAGTTGGAGGGGCAAGTTCCGGGGTAGACGGCACCGGCCCAGTCACCGCCTGTGCGAAAGAAGGAAGTGGATGTCAGCGTTCTGTTCGAGGTCAAGGCGGGTGATGAGAGCGACGTACAGAGAGTCAAGTTGATGATGATGTGGTTAGCGGCAAACTTCTCGCGGAGGTTGCACTGGGTGTCGGGGAAGTAGACCTCAGGAGCGCCCTATATCGCTGTCAGTCCAGATGTTCTCTCATAAAGGGAAAGTAATAGATAGCGTACCCAAGTATCGGGATTGACATTAGCGGTACCGATGTCGCGGGGAGGGGCAACACCACGAGGCCAGAACCAGACCTTCATGTAGTTGGGTGCACGCTCGAGAGCGTAGACACCTCCTCCGTTCTGGTTGAACGCAGGGCCATAGCTGCGGCGCTCGCGCATGTAGGCACCGCATCCGGCGTTGCCGTTGACGAGCCAGTTGCAGTCCATCTGCTTCCATGAGCCAGTCATACCTTGGGCGGCGTGGGCGGGCATGGTGCAGCCCGGGGTGGTGTGGAGGGTCGCAGCGTTGGGACCGACGTCGTTCACACCCTCGAGGATATCGACCTCACCCTATTGTAAAAAAATACAGTCTGGAAAACCGTAACGACCAAGTGAATAGCAATGCGACGTACCCCGTTCGGCCATCCAGCCTCAAGCGTCTCCCAAATAGCGGGCCAGGTACTTCACATCGAGGTAGAATGTCAGTCGGGATAACCTCGGGGGTATATCAGTGCGTGAGGCTCACCCGCATCCTTGAGGCATATGCCTGACGTCGAATCTACGGCGCGAAATAATATGAGTACGGCGGTGTGCGTGATGGTACAACGATGGCACTTACACAGCGACATGGGTGGAGAACGTCTTCTTCGAGCGGATACGGACAGAGTCCCTGCCGGCCTGGTTCGCCTGCACGACTCTGGTGGAGTCCGCACGCAGGATGAAGGTGTCACCTCCGGCAAAGGTCAAGTTCTGGCTGATGGCGGTGTTGCGGTCAACGTAGTTACTGCGGGTAATTGTCAGTGGACTTGAGATGATGAGAGAAGGTGAGAAAGAGCATACACTCGGCCGTTCGTAGGGTCACGGATGTTCTGGTAGTCGAACCAGTCGTTGAACTGAGTGCCTTGAACGCTGTCCGTCCTCCTGTAGGTGGCAGCCTGGGCAGAGCCGAGCATCGAAGCGAGGGCGAGGAAGGCGGTCGAAAGGAACATCGTGTCGGTACCGGTGAGAGGAGAGAGGAGATCTGTCGGAGAGGAGGAGCTTGAGATACCAGGACGACATCGCTTTGGACTTTATACCGGTCTGAAGCAGAGGGCTCAACGACTGCTTCCATGCGGTGTCGCGGTTGTGTGATTTACTAGCCTCAAAGCATTCAGATGCTCGTGAGCAGTCGAATGGCTAGAGAACGTCTGAGCACATCGCCTCAGCTGATGGGGAAATCAACGCTATCAACGGATAGCGTTGCTCAGCACACGACGACACCCGTCAATGCATCAGGTGCTCGCGTGGTGTGTCCCGAGATCCTATGGATGAGCAGCCTTGGCCCCCTGTATGCGCTCGCGGGACTCACAGGGACAGATGTACCATGGACGTGAGCACGGCACGTATCGGTTGCCAGCCCGGACCTAAACCACACTGAGACGTGAGCTTGATTCCCAGTGACCGTGCTGTTACATGTATAGTTGGCACCAGACCAGTGGAAGGTGTGGACGAAGAAGAGAGAGCGATGAGAGGATCGCCCAAGAGACTGTCCGTCCTGGAGTGAGAAGATTGCCTCCGAACTCGGCGTTGATCAAGTGATGAGATGTTCCTTGCCGTGACTGCAACTGGGCAAGCGGAGATCTGCAGCACTAGTCGTTGTGATGGGCGATGAGCAGAAGCCAAAGAATCTTCAGCTAAGCCGCCCAAGAATCCATACTACCGAGTCGGCAAGACCAGAAGCGAAGTTACCCGTCAGCATACATCATCGGTCCTAAGCGTATGCTAAACACGGTGGAAGCAGCGCTATCAGCGTTGTTGCACTTGTTGCGTCTATACTGGCTCATCTCCGAGTCAATGGAGGCTCGCCCAGGAGGCTCGCCCAGAGTCGCGGCGCAAGTGAGATGCTTGCTACCGCCGGGCATTGCGTCGTCTCCGTCGCCGGTAGCAATAGGGCGAACGCCGGGATCCTGTGTCTGAGAAGTACCTGAAGGTAGATCACCCAAAGATCACCTACAACTTGAAGTACATGCGCGGTCGAGTCGTATAGAAATACCTGGTGGCGAGTGTAGATACAGATACGAGTCGAGACGGGAGAAATCTGTTGGGATTCCACCCTGGGAGCAGTGCAGCTACTCTTCGTCTCCTGATCCTTCGCAAGCGGCGGCTTCGCGAACTTGCCGAGATGGGCGTGTGAGGGCACGAGTCTCTTGAACGCGCCGCGTGTATTGCGATCTATCGATATCAGCAGTGCGGCGGAGATATATGAACGCAAGAACGCAAACAAGTTGATCCATCATGAGGAGTTTGTCAGTTGACTGACTCGACCAGCGAGGTACGGATTGCACCCATGCAAACTCTTGAAAAAGACGATGATGTGCAGCCGTTCGTTGGCTACCTTCGTGAGGTGACAAGTCTAAATTGCTGTATGCTTGCCAAGGGGAATGGAATACAGCGTGTCGCGATGGTACCTCGACATGGAAGGAGGTGGGTAACCTTACCGGTCGCGATCGGGCCGAGATCTCTCCGCGCCAGTAGCCACGCCCTGCCAACGTTAAACTTACACCAACTTGTGTTTTGGTAGAGTACTGATCTAAAATCGACATTCTCTCCTTTGTGCTTATTATACCTCGAGTTCAACGCTACTGATACACTCCAGAACTATATGTCTAGCACGTATTCAAGCATCGCTCCCGCCAGTCGCAAAATGATGTCGTAGCTCTTTGCAATATTAATTGTTGAACACAGTGATGAGATCTAGAGTAGACTCAAGTTCGCTTGCTCTACGCTCACAACCTGCATGAGAGCCTCTTAGAGCATAGGCTCGATGATACAGGGGGAAGTACAGATTGAACAAGTCGCACTCATACACTAGTACTGTTGGACTTTTTTAACTTTATTGACAGACCCATCATAACGGAGCACAAATGGACATGAACCCTGGGACTAGTTCTTCAGAGTCTCATATCGCCTGACTGCTGAGATTTCAACCAGCTTTCCTCCTCTTTTAAGTAGTCAAAGCCCTCAGCCTCCTTTACCTCGGCTTGCTCGACCACAAGCCACCTTCGCCGTACGTCATCAATTAGACTCTGATCAACCTCGAAATCATGGAGCATGAAGGCTATGCAACCATTCTTTCTCTTTGAAGCCCAACGGAACTGATAACGGTGCTCCCATTTCTCGCGAGCAAGTTGCGTGGAGAGGACAAGTGGCCATGAAGCTGTCGTGCATTCAGAGTCGTGCCAAAATGGCGGACCGTACGTATCACGCGTACGCGCACCTATGAGCGTCATTATAATACGTGACGCGACGAGATGCGAAAGCGGGCTACTAGTACTAATCTAGTACCAATCCAATCACCCATAATCGCCTCCAATCTCTCGGTTCTTCGTCAACGTCGTACAAAACAGTGAGCATGATATCTGCAGCTGACGCCACCTCGCCATCACTGACTGAATACAAAGGTACCCAGATATGGCAAGGCATCCTTATTCCCAGAACGGCGTCGCTCGCCGGGCAGAGAACAACGACCGTCGTGTCTCTGCTCAGGGAGAGACGAGCACCAAATTTCCTCTTCTTCTTACCGCCGCCACCCCCGCCAACAGCGACTACGCTGCCTCCAACTACGTCAACGGATTTTCTTCTCCCAACGGACCCGACGTCGTCGTCGCCGCCGCTCCTATCGTTGATGGATCGACCCCGTATCCTGCACTCAGCTCACTCTCCAATTTTTCCGTCAACATAAATGGGTTATCCAACCGGAGAGCTAACATTGTCGGTGGTCCGTCCTCCATCGCCACCGGTACCGACGTCGACATCTACGGTGGCGCGTCCCCCGACAACGACGTAACCCTCGGAGGCACATCCACCCACAGTAACTCTTCTGCCACTACCGTTCCTTTTATTCCATCCCCGACAACAACGTAACCCTCGGAGACAAATCCACCGACACTAGCCCTTCCGCCACTACCGTTCCTTTCATTCCATCCCTCGCCGGCGAACCGAGCTCGAATCCTCCTCAGCTCAACTACAGGCGCTCTCCGTACGGCACCGTTCCGCTCCCGTCCATCACCGAGGAAGGTGTCACTGAGGAGGACGGACTGGGACACCTCGTGGAATTTGATGATCTGTCTTCACAGTGATTCTACGCTGCGCTTCTCTCACTTTGCGGACTTAATGGAGGAGAGGATTTGGCGAGGTACAATGCCCTGTGCATTGTGCCTGATTCGGTAGCCCCGGCGCTTGGCAGCATGGCTTTACCATCTCCCCTGTAACGCCTCCACTTACGATTAGAATATCACTATCACCATAGATTACTCTCTTTTGTTGTTTCCAACGACTCCCGAATGACTTCTGAACATGACTTGACCCACAACTTTCCTTACGGACTCGCACCAAGTAGTACTGACCGAGTATTCGTTGTGTATCGCTTCTACATAGAAAGACTGATAACGCGCAGTACTCTCTTGAATTGAGCGCAGACGAAAGTCTCTGACTCTACCAACTTCACATACGTAACTCTCGATGGACACAGTGCGCGCACGGAGCCGCGCACACCACGTGTGTGCGTTGCCTCCGAGCGCCTGCATGCTCTTGGCAGTGGGCCCTTTGCTCTTGCGCCTCAATAGCACCAAAAGAACTCGGGCCGATTTTGAGAGCCTTTTCAGTAAGGATTCCACCTCAATTTACCCACAAGACTGCCTTTGAAGTCCTCAAACGGGGGTAAACATAATATAATTACGCTTGTGATGCAGAGATCATCAGCCCGCCTAGCTCAATCGGATAGAGCGTCAGACTCTTAATAGAGGCTTGCAAAAGCAGTGGCTGTATCTGAAGGCTGGGGGTTCGACCCCCCCGGTGGGCTAATGACAGACGTGAACGAGCTTTTTGCCACCTTTTGCTACTGTGGCTAACCGGTATTGTAGGGAAGCTTCGAGCCAGGTCCTATACATATCTTTGCTCCTTACTGCCCGCTGGACGGCCGACTGCAGTCCAGACTTGATGATTTGAAGACTATACATGTACTAAACAGTGCGCATTCTCTTCGAGAGCGGTACCGGACCCCAGGTGTTTTACTCTTGTTACCACTAACAAGGTGCGCATTATGCACGAATCGCTAACGTGTACGAAGACCTGTCAAATTCATCGACATCCAAGAAACCGCGTTCGCGAACGACATAGTGGGGACATAAATATGCATATAGATACAACCAAAAGATGATAGTACAAGACTCCCAACAAAGCTCTCGTCACCGAATCATAGAGACGCTCTTGAACGCAACACTCTCAAAAGGGAATGGATCGTCGTCAATCGTGTAGGTATGCCTATAAAACAAACAAAGCGTCAGCATTCGGGGAGCTCAGATCGAGAAAGAACGAGGATGAAGCAAGAGAACGAGAACAGAAAACAGGAGAACGAGGACAGGGAACGATGAGCGAGGACATGAAACCAAAAATGAGAGGCGGAAGCGAGGAGTGGAAATGAGGAACAGGGAATGCCAACGAGCAAAGGAACCAGGACTCAATAGCGAAATAGACGAGTACGTACTCCTTCGGACCAAAGACCTTCATACCCCTCACATGCGTATCCTTCCCGCTCATATGGTTCTGCGCGATATGCACCTGTACGACATACGTATGCACCGGTTTACTACGCAACTCATCAGTAGGCCTCCTTCACAGCACCGAAATGAACCACTCACCAATCCAGCGCCGGCTTCCCCTCCCCCCCCTCCTCCTCCTCATCATCATCATCTTCACCATCGTCCTCCCCCGGCTCCGTACTAACGTCGAACGTACACCACCCGTTCGGTTTATCGAGGACGACGACGCGGACTTCTTGGAGGTCGTTGATCCCGTTGCCAGCGCGAATGTGGAGGACGGAGGGGGTGTAAGAGTCGTCCTTTGCGAAGTTGAGGAGAATGGAGAGTTTCTATAGAGAGAGATGGGCGGGTAAATGTCGATGTGGATGGAGAGGAGAAAGAAAGGTGAATGAGGGAAACTGGGACGAACCTGGATAGCGGTCTTTCGTGGGAACTCGATGGTGATGTAGTGTGGTTGTGGGCCGTCAGAGCTGGATGTAAACCAAGATCAGCCAGCGTAGAAAGAAAGATGCCTAGAGAGAACCAACAACAAGGTGGAGAACTCACTGCCAAAACGTATCACCGTCATCATCCCTCAAACACTCCGACCCAAACCCAAACTTATACGAACTAACACTCCACTTCCCCCTCTCCGAGATATCGGAATAACTCGCCCAATCTATCGCTGGTCTTCGCGTAGGAGGAGGTGGTGGTTGTGCTGGAGGCGGCGGAGGAGACTCGTATGACGCGTCAGGCGGAGGTGGTTGTGCTTGGGGTGGTGGTGGTACTGGTGGAGCTTCAGGCGTATACATCGCCCCTGCGTATGGGTTGGACGCTTGCGCCTGGGCCTCGGCGTGCATCGCCGCCTCTCGTTCCCTGAAAAACTCGGCCCTTCTTCGTTCGTAGCGATCTCTACCTGCTGGTATCGGAGGAGGGTTACCGTGTCCGAATATAGATGATGCAGAGGCGCCGGGGGTTTGGTATGGGTCGCCGTTTGGTGGGCTGAGTGAGAATGAGGTGGATGTGTCTTCTCCGCTGATGTGGCCGAAAGTCATAGTAGATTCGTTCAAGGAGGATGATGTGCTTTCATCCATAGTGCAAAAGGTGAGGTTGTGAGAGCTGCTGGGGAGTGAATGTGGGAGAGGCTCAGTTAGGTGGTAGTACAGAGTTTCGAACGGCGGAGGAGGACAAGAGGTGATGCGGTCACATCGCCCATCTTTTCCTGGTTTCGACGCTCATCAAACCGAATTGCTACTTGCCTGGCACCCGACTGCCTCTCATCGACTCAACGGGTATGTATTACTACACTGTCCGAAATGAAGAACAGTATGAGCCATCCAAGTCTCATCAGTAAAGAGCACCTGTACGCCCACTCAAAGGCAGGCCTGCTACTCTCCGTCGGAACGTTTGAGGACAACCAAATTCGCCGACGAAGAACTCCAAAATAGTGCTTCTGACACAGTTCAGCCTACAGTAGTTCAAGAGAGTATGTACAAAGCAATCTTCACAGCACTGTTAACAGTCCTCACCGATCAAGCCCACATCCCCTTAAACTTCGTACGGAACTCAGCAGCGACCTCCGACAACACCTTGTATAACCTCCAATCCGAATCGCCCACACCCTCCGGTCGAGCAATCTTTCCCTCAACTCTCAACTCATCGTACTCCTCACCATCAACAAGCGTAGTGCCCATTGTGCTCTCCTGATCTTCTCCACTCACCGCCGTCGACGTCAACGCAACCGACTCCAACGCCACTGGACTACCAATCCCCGAAGCCCATTCCTCCCTGACGTCTGACTCTCCGCTATCAGACTCCCAACACGTCTTTGTCGACTTGCGCTTGCTCGAAGTGGTCGCAGCTATCGGCGCGGGCTCCTTCCTCTTTCGCGCGCTCTCGACCTGCTGGAACAAGTACTCCATCGACGCCTTGATCGTCGCCAGCGTCAGATCAAAGTCCTGCAACAAATACCATACATCTCCTCGTCTGATCCCATTCGCGTTAGCTAGAGTCGCCACCTGTCCGTGGATGTAGAAGTCGAGGATGTACGCGTTAAGCGGGAGTGCGGCGTTATCCACGGGGCTGGTGGGCAATATACAACTCGACGAGGGCGAATCGGGAGAGTTGGGGATTGCGGTGATCTGCTCGAGGGAAGGGATCATATACTCGTTCACGTCGATTCCTTGACGGACGCTCCTTGCTAGCTCGGAGACGGAGGAGAAATGGTCCCCGTGGCCCGAGGTAGCTATGAATGGAGACCGAGCGACGACGGGTATGGCGTTGTTCTGCAGTAGTTGATGGAAGGGGGACATGTTTTCCTTCTCCGTACGTCCCGGATACTCTATCCCACTCAGAGGTAGAGCGTCCTTACTACCATCGTGCCGCTGAACATACCGACGGGAGCAATCCATGGCGTAGCTGGAGAAAATGCGAAGTATCTCGGCATCGTGCTTGACGAGATCGCTTCTTACATGATCGGGCAGAGGAGGCAGAACGATCATAGATGGGTACTTCCGACTAAGCTGTTCGATATTGTGCTTGTTCGTGAAGGACGGAACCAAGTATCTTCTCCCGAAGAGATGCGCCAACACGAGCATGAGCTGCTTTTTCGCTTCTGCGGGTACTTCGTCAATGGCGATCTTGTGCAGAGCGCCACTTCGCAGCAACGCGACCAGAGCAAAGTTGCTGGGCTCCTGGTAGTACAGATGCGCCGCCATCCCGAAAAGGTTGTACGCGTTTCCTGTCTCGTCGATCAGCCTCGAGCGACGGAGATACTCGATAGAGAATCGAAGGTGGTGAAGGAGTTCGTTGTTCCCAGTCGTCGAATCGAACCCTACCTGTGCTAGCGAGAGAATGCTCTTGATCGCCTTCGATGCAACCTCTGAGTTGTCGGAGCCTTGAAGCAGGTTGAGAAGTCGTAAGGCGAGAGTAGACGTAAGAGGAAAGTTTCCTGCGAGGGAGGGAAGCTTGGAAGTGACGAGTCGCTGTACACGTTCCAGGGGTAAACCGTAGAAAACTACTTTTCCTAGCAGGTCAAAGCCACGACGCCCGGCTCTTCCTGCGCACTGTCGATACTACACAGGCCAAGATATCAGTGTTTGAGAGAAGCGAGCAAAGCATTGAGAACAGCGTGCTCACCATCAAGGCCGTCAGAAATGGAGAATCTCCGCAGAAAACAGCAGTCTTAGTCGGCGCGTTGATACCAAGAGCGAGAGTACCAGTGGCGATCATGATCCTGACGAATCGCTTTCGGAATAGGCTGCTCGAGACAATCAATACCAGATGAACCCCCGAAATGGACGTAAACGCACCTCTCAATTAACCCACGATAATTCTTGTTCATCCCCGCATGATGAATGCCTATTCCACGGAGAAGAGCATCCGAAATCCAAGGCTCAATGTGCTTCCTGCGTAGCAGATGCGCCAACTCCTTCTCAAGCTCTTCCATATCAACGCCAGTCGAAACCCCCGCAAACGAGAAGTCAGGGAGCACCGCGTCAGGATCGAAGCTTGCGTACCACGTTGCATTAGCGAAAACCGGTTCTTCGTCGCGAGTCGGCCCCTCTGTGTCGTCTCCCTGCTTCTTCTTGACTGTACGCGTGCGTGATTTATCCGCCTCCTTGCGCCTGTCTCGCTCCTGCAGCTTCCACTTCTCCCATGACGCGAGCTTCCTCTTCCATTCGCCGCTCGTCTCCTTCCATCTCGTCTCCGCCGTACTCAACTCTTCTAGCAGCTCCGAGGCGATACGCTCACATTCTGTTCGATCAAAGTTGAAGAAGATAGCGGGCTGCAAACAAATGTATGGTGGACACAGGTTCGGGATGATCAAGCGGGTCGGCATTGAAGATATCACTCACCAGCTCGTCATGGACGTGAAGCTCCGTCGCGAGATGAATCATACTCCCAAGGAAGCTCTCCTTGGAAGGAGGGCTGTTATGCTGCTCAACATCTGACGATGACGAAAACGCAACATGCTGCAGTCGATGAACAACCTTATACAGCGCACTATTCTGATCACGGACGTCCTGCGTCTCCAATAACCGTACAAGCTTGTCCTTGAGTGCGTGCTCGTACGAGATAACGTCTCGTTGTGTCAGTAACAAGTGGCGATCGTTGAAGAACTTGTGGGGGTCCAGAGAATCGACCTCCTCGTGCGTCAGAGCACCAGAAGACACCATCGCATCGTACAGGGAGCGCGTATCCGCTGCTTCCAGGGATAGGTCGGCGGGTAAAGATCGAGGACCGAAAGAAAGCATCGAAACTGGGTGAAGGAACTTGCATC